GGAGAGGGGAGAGGGAGAGAGAGAGAGCGAGCGAGAGCGCTGTGCCCAAGGAGGAAGCTGTGACAAATGTGACTGGTGGCAAAATGAAGTATGAGAGAAGGGCAGACAGGGAGACTATGTCCCTGCTCACCAGCCTAGGACAAGAGAAACCATCAGGAAAACCACGAAGCATAGAGCTCGAAGGATGAGCATTCAATGATACATAAATAACTTGAGGGCTCCACAACCTCAGAGACCAAAAGCTTCAGGATTAAATATGCCTTTCATAAGGGCCTTGACTCCTCAGCCTTTGCTTCTAAGGGGGGTTTGAACACATGATCTTTGCCGAAGGCTTTTTCCTAAATTTCTTCTTTTGCTACCAAAGAGTAATGTTCCATCTTCTTTCCCTGAATGTATGACCTCATCCTTGTTTCCTTTCCCCAGCCTAACTCAGGTTATGATCTCACCTACTCCTATCTCTCCCACCCCAAGACTGGCTAAACTCCTGCACTCCTTTGCCTCTTATCACTAGTACCTCAGTAAATCCTGAGACTCACTTTTCTTTTCTTTTTTTTAAAATTTGGTCTCTAAACATAGTTTCAAATATGGTACCTTTTTTGCCCCAAGAAATTGCAATACAACTTGGGCCCTTTGGGAAGAATGATTAGCTCGCTCTACAGTTTGTTTCTCCTCCCCAAACAGCAATGAAATTCTTCTGGTCTCACATAAAATGCCTGTTTCCTAGTCTGGCAAGACTTCTTTTCTTCTCATTAATCAACTTCAATTTACCTTCTTCATTCCCTTTTTCTTCCTTTTGCCAATGGTCCTTTTCCACTGCAAGTCTGCTCTAAACACCACTTCACAAAATTCTTGTCCCATTCTTCCAAATCTCTACCTTAGATCTATATGATTCATAAGAGAGTTCTGTCTCTCCTTTCTCTTACTGTCATCTTTCATAACTGCTTTTGTCCACTGTCAAAAATTATCTTCTTGGTCTGAATATCTCAATGCATATGAACTTTGCCACCTATTTTTTCCAATTAGACTCTAGTTCTTTGGATCCAAAAAGAGCTTTCTATATCTGCATTCTATTCAGTTTTTCCAGTGTTGCATCCCAGATGTTTTTCTGCAACAATGAATCCAACCTATTATTACCTGAACTTCTGGTGGTGCTTCCAAGCAGCTGTGGTAAGCGTCCTCCCGGCTGTTTTGGGAGTCTAGAAGAAAAAAACAGGGATAGAGTAAGCAGAAGACTGACCTCTGACCTTCCCCAGGGTCATTCTGAAAAGTAATTATAAAGCCACTAAGAAAACATTAAAAATCCACAATAAGCTCCATCCTCTTCTCCAGAGGCAACAGCACATTAATCAGAGTGCCTAGGCAGTTATAGAGAAAAAGCCATTGCTTAAGCTCTAATTTATAGGAAGACATCCCTGAAAAAATTCTTCCATGCATCAGATTTCATCGTTTTTCCTCAACATCATATTTTTCATTCTCTACCCTACTTTGTATTAAAAGGTAAAATTTCCTGAAGGTAAAAATTTATGTCCAACTTGAATGTTTGGTAAGCACAGAAATAAACATGACTTAACAGTGTTCCCATATGAACAATAGGAAGCAGGGAATTTCACCGTTATTCAGAGCCTATGATTACACAGATATGGAGGCATTTTAATAAAAGAAGGTGGCACTAGAGGAAAAAGAACAATTATTTATGTTTCTGGGGGAGAACAAGAGGTCAAGGGGGAGTCACTCAAGGGGAAACCTTAACAGTCTTTCAGGGTAATAAAAAAAAAAAAGAGCGAGCTCTCGTGTGTGTGTGTGTGTGTGTGTGTGTGTGTGTGTGTGTATAAAAATTTCTGACAACTTTACAACAACTCAATTGGGAGTGACAGAAACTAAAAACGTCACTTTGGTCCCACACAGCGAAAATGGGGAAACAAAAATACCACTATAGGATCAATATCTGGATCCACACTTCCCAGAAACGTTCAAGCACTAAAGGGAGCTTTAACCTGTGAACACAGAGAAAACCGTACTAACAAGTACTAGAAACCACTGACTGTCCTGTCCAAGTCCCATACAACACTGCAAGCCTGCATCCAAAAGGAAGGCCACATTTATCTTAGGCTTGGCATGACGCTGGGATACACAAAAGGTGGAAAAATAGGAAAACAAGAGGAAGTAACAAATTTCTAACCCCACAAATTACACAGTAGGCACAAGTCGTGCATCCCTTCTTTGCTAAGTTTCAACGATTAAATAGTAGCTAGCTTTCTCCTTCATTCCCAACAAAGGGATCACATCTTCACTCCCAGAATGATTCTTGCTTCCTGCAACTAAAACACTGGAGAAAACTTGCCTGTGGGTCACTGAGAGGTTAGCAAACACAAGCTAATAAAAGGATTAACAGAGGCAAGAGGTCTGCAGGAAGGACAACAGAAAGCCAAGTCTGTGTGCCAGGTTGCCACAAGGCAAAACATATCTCTGAATCTGAAACCTCAGTCTCTTGAGGGGCTTGCTGAGAATTTCTCAAGGGGAAGGCACCGCTTGTGAGCTCAACTGGGCTAACGCGCAGCGGGGACCATTCCCCAAAGCTGCCAACACTACCCAACAGGAAGGTCCCAATCAAGCTTGGGTCGGAGTCAAGAGGAGAGGGTGAACCCTCTGGGAGACCTAATTCGCGGAGGGTAAGAAGTGCGCCCCACAGAGATTATGGCTTTCCGTAATCCCGAAATCCTTGATCCAAAGAGGGTTGGGCCCAAAATGAGAAATTCAGTGTCCAGAGACTGAGGGTCGGCCTTCAAGCCCCCAGACGGGGGCGAGGTCCCGCAGGCGATGCTTGTTTGGCGGCCCCTTCCCGCTCCGAGAACTCGGACACTCAGGCCCGAGGAGACACAGGCGGGCGGGGGCAGCGGGGCACCGGGTCTGAAGCCGCCTTCCGGGCGAGAGACAGACGGGCGTACGGGGATCTAGGCGCGGCCTCTTTCGCTCCCTCTGTCCGCGGCTTTCGGGCCCCGGCCCGGTGGGGCAACGGGCTCTTGGGTCCACTTCCCCCGAAGCTCCGAACCCAAGCCTATTTGTCCTCGTTAGGCCGGCCTAGTGGCCATCACTCCCAACAACACTCACCGGCCCATCTCACAGCGCTCCCTGGGCTCCTCCCGGTCGTCCTGGAGCCACAGCAACCGCCATCCCCGGCCCTGGAGCCGCCCCACACCCAGCACCCCCCCCTCCAGGCCGGGCGCCCGGAGATGGCGTCAACCACATCCCGCCCCTGGCGCTGAGAGATTGCGTCACAGGCCCTGCCGGAAAGCCAAGCCAAGAACTACTTTGCGTCCAGCGCCCCCTTTGGTAGGAAAATGAACTCCTCTCCCTGAGAACAGGTCAAGTGAATAGAGTGAATTTAAATTGGCCCCTCCATCTTTCCACTCCAGTAAATTTTAGGGGGTTCCAAACAGCGTCGTGTTGTGTCGTCATCAGCGATCCCGCCTTGCCTGGACTTCCGGTCCTTACATGTGAAGCCGGCTAAAGGAACCTCCGGGAATCCGGAGTTGACCCAAGCCCAGGAGAGTAAGGAGATTCTTCCTGGGTTCAGAGTTGCGATAGTAGCTCTATAAAAGTTGATAAATAGACCAAGAATTGTGGCACAAACCTTTAATCTCAGTACTTGGGAGGCTGAGGCAGGAGGCTCTGAGTTCAAAAGCAGCCTGGGCTATATAGCCAGTTGGGGGCCAGCCTGAGCTACAGAGTGAGACTTTGTCTTAAAAGCAAACAGAGCAGCCCGGGGATTTAGCTCAGTGGTTTCGCCGCCTGCTGCTCAAGCGCAAGGACCGGAGTTCGATCCCCGGTACCAAAACAAAAAACCCAAACAAAGAAAAAAAAGCAAGGTGTGGTGGCTCATCCCTGTGATCCCAGCACACAGGAGGCTGAGGCAGGAGGATCACCACAGGTTCGAGACCAGCTCGACTACACAGTGAATTCAAGGCTAGTCTGAAATACATAGAGTCCCTGTTTTTTTTTTTTTTAAAAAAAGTCGGCTAGGGAATGCCAGTGGAGGCAGAAGGATTGCTGTGAGTTCGAGCCCAGCCTGAGCTACATAGTGAGTTCAAGGACAGGCAGAACTACATAGTTCACATATTCACATACATTTGTTTCACAAAATTTAAAACAAATTAACAAACAGAGGGTTGAGAAATAATCCTGAGGCAGATAAGAAAGGCACCAGGGGTCTAGGGGAAGGTGAAGCAAGTAAAAGGAGGCCTGAAAGTTTGTGGAGAATGAAGGAGGTTATTACAGTGAAAAGCAGCTTGGTATAATGGGAAGAGAACTTGGAAATTTTAGGTCACCTACTCATTCCAAGTTAGCTAGTCGGCTTCATAGTCACATGAATATCTGACTGATTAAAATGAAAAAAATGAACACCTGAGTTTGTGTTTGCATTACAACTATATTTTTTTAAATGTTTGAAGAAATGAACTGAAAAAATAAGTTAGAGTATTGAAGAGATTGGATTGTGAGTGGATTTTTTTCCCTTTCAGTTTCTGCAAACTGTTCAATTTTGATTTTTGTTTGATTAAAAAAGTACCGGCTGACGCTTTGCTCAGTGGCAGTATCATAGCCAGCAAGCTTCATCAGAGGTATGATTATTGTTTTTTTGGGTATATGTTTTATTTTATAGACTTATTTATTATCCCATTCCCCCCCTCAAGCCCCCCTCCCTATGTACAAAAGCTTTGTTTCCATTTTTTCCTTCTACTTTCACTTTTTTCTTGTTCCTCCCTTCCTTTCTCCTTCCCTCTTACCTTGTTCCCCTTCCCATTTGAACACTTTCTTCCCATTTCCTAACATCCATCATACATCTCAGTCCTTATTTCCACTTTCAGTTTCTCACACCAGAGAAACAACGTGGTATTTAAACATGTGTGTCTTATTTATTTCGCTTACAGTATGGTCTGAAAGTGCATCCATTTAACTATAAATGTCTGAAGGTCATCCTTTATGGCAGCGTAGTACCCCATTGTATTAAAAAAAAAACAAAAGACACTTTTTTTTTTTTTGGTACCAGGGATCAAACTCGGGTCCTTAGGCTTCCAAGGCAGGTGATGTAACCACTGAGCTAAATCCCCGGCCTCCAAAAAAAAACCACATCTTTATCCACTCGTCAGTTGATAGGCATTTGGGCTGTTTCCAAGGTTTGGCTGTTACAAACTGTGAGGGGTGATTATTGTTAATCGAAAATAGATACTGGGTGAAGAAAAGTCACTTGTCCTGAACATGTAACTGTCCAACCTTACAAAAGTCATTTTACTACTTTAGCCTTGAGTTACTACTACTGTAAAATGAATGGGAGGAAACATGTATGAAAGAGAACTCTCAAAACATATTTAAGTAAAAACAATCAAGTATGTACAGTATGACAGCATATATTTAATGCTAAAAAATAAGTCATAGTTACATAGATAACGTATATGTTCAGAAAAAGTGGAAGGATGATTATGTCTGGGGAGAAAAGTGGAACTGGTGATCAAAAAAAAAGCAACTTGCATTATTGCCTTGTCTCCCTGAAAATAAAAACAAGTTCTAGTGTTTGAGCTTTATGAGAATGGTGTCTTAGAAATTCAAAGCACTATACTAACATGCACAAGACCCAGGGTTTGATCCCCAGCACTGCAGGGAGAAAAAATTAAGATACAAATACAGTACATGATCTCTAAGATTCACTCTAGGGAGATTTTTTTTTTTTTCTGAGATAGGGTCTCACTATGTAGCCCAGGCAGGCCTTGAACTTTTGGCAATCCTCCTGCCTCAGACTCCCCAGTGCTGGGATTACAGGCATCCACCACCATGCCCAGCCCCTTCTCTAGGGAATTCTTAGCCCTCAACTTTGGTATTTTCTCACTTGGATGGGCACAAAAATCATCAAACTATGAAATACTATCACCAGCCACTCCCGCACACAGCCACTAAGCAAAACATGATTTCTATTACCTAAGTCAGCAGGGGACTTTGCTTCATGAGTATTAATAATCTAAGTCTCCTTGCTCAGTCTGCCCAAGAAGGAAGTCGTGTGGTCACCCAGTGAATCTATCTTAGCTCTAGCTGGCATCCCGGTTTCTAGTTCGTTGCTTAGCTCACTAAACTGGCATTAAAGCTGCCAAGGTAGAAACCCTCCCATCACCCAGGTGTATTCAAGGATATCCCGTTTCTCCTAGATCACAATATACACTCAGAGAGCTCATTTTCCATACAAAGTTGATAGAGCAGGCACAAGTAGATGCAAGCACAAAAAGCTTTTTGGCTGCCACCCAGGAACACGATGATGTCAGGCAAAGGCGTGTCTGCTTACAAAAAAAACCCACAAGATGTTCTGATTGGTGAAACACGGGGATTTCCTGGTTTGGTGCTGCAGTCCCCAAAAGGTGGGTTTTATCTCCGCTGGGTCCTATTTCAGAACTCTCCCAGCAATCCTCATTTCTTTGATGGTACATCTTGACGGTAGGAAATTCCATACTAACAGTTTAACAGGAATATTAGTGATAAGTAAACTAATATAGTTTTTAGGTTGACGACACTAAATCAAAAGCTACCTGTTTCCAAAAATCTGTATTATTCCCTAGAATCTAGAGATCTCAGTTATATAATTTCTTTCTATTAAATTATTTACATTAAGTTAATCCAGGGCCTTATCCAGATAATACCTGGTTCAAGTCATTGAATGAAATTTCACAAGGATTCCAAACTGGGAGACTTTGCTAATTCTTTTGCTCCTCTTTCATTATTTTTATTGCTCTCTATTCTGCCTATTAGCCATCTGTTCTCAATCCTGCTCATCTGGAACACCTTCGTTTGAATCCACGGAGCTTCTTATTCCCACTGTGTTTTAAGAATTGATGAAGTAAAGGTGGATTTATAAAGGTATTTGGGACAATTGGAGAGTGACAAATTGAACTTCAGTCTGTTTTGTCCACTTCCCATTCCCTGGATACCAACTCAGTTCCTTTTTTGTGTTTAGAATGAACTTTTGTGGTGGGAAAGCTTCAGCTACTCGTAGGAGGAGAACAACAGCACAACCTTGCTGTGCTGGTTATTCCTCTTCCTAAGACACCAGGAATTTCAAACCAGCTCTCTGTGCTGCCTAATTCCTTGCTGGTGTTTTTTTGAGACCTGTAATGTAGCCCAGAGAAGTTCAGGACACCACCCCACCTCTATTTGACATCATTTGACAGTGATTTTAGAGAAAACCACCAGTATCTTGGAAAAACATGTCATAAAAAGACTAGGTGGCTTAGGTGACCTTATTCACATGGGTACATCTTCCTACTTGTATGCTTCAGTGTGCAAAGTTCCTTTTAGGACAGGAACTTTATCATTGTTTTGTTTTTTGTGGTGCTGGGGATTGAATTCAAGGGGTTGTGAATACACAGTAAGTACTCTACCACTGTGCTGTATCCCCAGCCCCTTTAAAAAATTTTTACCTTTCAATAGGGTCTTGTCAACTTGCCCAGGTTGGCCTCAAACTTGTGATCCTCCTGCCTCAGCTTCTTGAGTAGCTAAGATTATAGGCATGTGACACTGCCTGACTATGGAATTTTATCTTTGGATGCCAAAGGCAGAAATAAGAACTAATCCCACGCATACATTGAAATTATAGAGTATTTGGTAGGTTTTGCTTTCCTGAAAATGCATTGGTGCCTGGTTTTATTTTTCAAAAGCTTTTCCTCAATGTACAAATGTATAAATATGTGGTTTTCAAGCTTCTGTCTTACCTACTTTTCTGAATAGTTCTATCCTCTCATTTCCACATGCCTTTAATGTTGTGTGACCTCTCCAGGCTCCAAAGAGGATTTCTTTCTTTTTTTTTTTTGGTACCAGGGATGGAACTCAGGACCTTGTGCTTGAGAGGCAGGCGGTGGAACCACTGAGCTAAATCCCTGGTCTCCAAAGAGGATTTCTCTTTCAAATTCATTAATATTTTATTTAGAAGGTGGTCTTATAATTTCTCCCTAGGTGACAAGTATGTCCCTTGGGGATGGGGAATCCCCCTTTGTTGTCTACTTCCTGAAATGACTGGGAAAGACTTTTATTGTTTCAGAAACTTCCTGTACAATCCTAAAAGGTTGCAGTAAAAACATTGAGGATTAGGATAAACTAAAGAAAACCTAACCCTTATTTGAATTATAAGTGTCATATCTAGGGAAGTGGTCCACAGAGAAGCAAGCATGCTCAAGAATTCCTTCCACCCGACTTGTTCAATGAATGAAGCAAGTGTGGGAGAACTGGCGTCCCTCATAATACTTATACCTTTCTCTTTCCTCGGGAACCTTGCTCAGCAGTGTATTTGTGAGCTCCTGTGTCTTGCAGTGAAATAATGTTCAGCTCTGCCTTCAAAGTCGATCGCCTTCGAGTTAACTTGCAACTGGTTATCAATCGCCTAAAACTCCTAGAAAAAAAGAAAAGTGAGTAAACATTCTACACTGCACTGCTTGCTGCCCCTCAGATCATTATGAAATCCCTGAGGTGATATATCTTCTAAGCTCTCTCTTGGTAGTTTTGGAATTTAAAAGAATGTTTCTGACTTGGGAGTATGTGGTCATAATTATAATGGTGATCTGCGCTCATTTTAAAAGTTTCTGCAGGGCACAGTGGCACATACCTGTGATCCCAGGATTTGGGAGGCTGAGGCGGGAGGCTCCCCATGAGTGCAAGGCCAGTCTGAACTACATAGTGAGACCCTGCCTCAAAAAAAAAGTTTTGGGCTAGGGATTTAGCTCAGTGGTTCCGCCACCTGCCTCGCAAGCCACAAGGTCCTGAGTTCAATCCCTGGTACCAAAAAAAAAAGTTTCCAAGGGCAGGAGTATGGCTCAATGGTGAGGCACTTGCCTAGGAAGCTAGAGGACCTCAGTTTGATGCATCAGTGCTGCCATAAAAAAAATGTTAATAGGGAAGGGTGGAGGGGTGAAGGGCGCACAGGGAAGGAGGAAAAAAATAAGAACCAAGATGAATCATGTACAGGCACAAGCACCCAATGAGAAATGTAAACGAACTGTATACCTAAAATGTACCAATAAAAGAACTTAAGCAAAAAATAAGTTTTCTAAAGATTCTTCTGTATGTTGACTGTATCAATGTCAATATCCTGATTGTGATAGTCTATCAGAGTTTTGACATATGTTACCTTTGGAAAAAGCTAGGTAAGGGGTATTGCATGTGAATTACAGTTATCTCAAAATTAAAAGTTTATTTATTTAGTTTTTGGTTTTGATTTTGGTTTCTCAAACTTGCAGTGATCCTCCTACCTCAGCCTCCCAAGGGCTGGGATTACATGTGTGCACCACCATGTCAAGTGCAAAAAGTTTGATTTAGAAAAGAATGTTTCCAAAGATTTTACATTTTAAAATGTAAAGCTAGACCAAGGAGGTAGCTAAGTGATGTAGTGCTTGCCTAGTGCACATGTACAAGCTCGTGGGTTCAATCCCTACTACCTCACACACACACAAAGTATAACCATACCCAGATTACTGGACTTCTTTCCACCAAAATAGGGAATTTTATCTAATCAGTCTTTTCAAATGTATAGAAACTATTAAATTTGAGCTCTCTGGGCCGATTTTTCTGGAAAGGCCTTTTATCTTTTTTGGGAGGGTACTGAGAATCAAACTAAGTACCTTGCACTTGGAAGGCAAGTGCAGGCACCACCAAGCTAAATCCTCAGCGCCCCCCCCCCCACCTTTTAAAGCTATTTCTTCTACCAGATGACAGCACCAGTAGTGTTACTCCCATGAGCAGGGAAAAGGGTAGACAAATATCTTCTTTCTTTAACTTGTTTTCTGTATTCTCCATTTCCTCATTCCAGGGGCTGACAATAAGTCATCAACCTTTTGATTAACTGTAACACTGATGCTCTTTCACTATGATTGTTCAGGTGAAATAAGTGTTACAGGTAAACTCAGCTCTCAGAGCTCTCAGTAAATAGCAGTATGGAGTTAGGTTCATGTATTGGTAGGGAGACAGCTGTTACTCAGACTTCCAAATCGAATTTTGGATGTTCTTTAGCCAGATCTCACAGATATTTGAGCATGTTTTAGATATCAGGGGCCTAAGAAAAGTATCCCAAACTAATGAAATGGGCAAACCCAGTGGTGCCCCTTACGGTTATCATGAGCAACAAGGTGATGCACAATAATGGTGTGCACAGCACTAGTAAATTTTAAACTGCTTACCCATGTGTTCTTTTATTTGACCCCCACAATCCAGTGATTTAAGGGATGCTTCTTCTTATTATTCTTATTAATTTTATTATTGTAGGAATAGGGATTGAACCCAGGGTCTTTTCACTGAGCTACATTCCCCAATCTTTTTTTTTTTTTTTTTTTGAGACAAGGTCTTGCTAAATTGCCAAGTTGCCCAGAGTGGGCAACTTGCAATCCTCCCGCCTCAGCTTCCCAGAGTTCTGAGATTACAAGTATGTGCCACCACACCTGTCCAGTGTTGCATATTATTATCCAGATAAACATTATTCTTTTGTTTTTTTACAAATGAAGAAATGTAAATATAGTTTGAGAGTGATTTTAGATAAGTAGAACACATTAGTCACCTTAAATTTATTCCTCCCCTCCTTTTTTTTTTTTTTTAAGACAAGATCTGGCTGTGTGGTCCAGGCTACCCTTGAACTCACTATGTAGCACAGGCTGGTCTTGAACTCACAGCAATCCTCCTGCCTCCACCTCTTGAGTGCTGGGATTACAGGCATGTGCCACCAGGCACAGTGACATAAATTTATTCCTTTTTAAAAGGTAGTAATAGTCTTGACCTATCACTCCAGGCTTCTATTTGTGTCACAGACTATTACCTAGGCACACATAAATGTTTACTAATATTGGAGTTGGTGTAGCAGCAGTTTAGCACTATTGTGATGCACTAAGTCTAGTGCTATTGTGATTTCTTTTCCCTGACTTGTTTAGAGAAAAGAATAGTTGCCTCCTTTGGAGTTGGCTATGCTGGCTTCCAAGCATTGGGCTTTTTGTTGCTCTTGAATTCCAATGCAATTGCATGTCGGCATATTTTGCAATGAGAGTAACTCTATTCAATAATTAGATGATCATCACTTTTAGGATATGGCAAGAGAGTATACAATTGGAAGGCTCAGAGGTTTTCCTGGCTTGTGAAAAAGCTTTTCTCAGACCCAATCAGCACCTGATAACCCAAGGTGGTAAGACTTTACTTATCCTAATGGATTACCCTTGGGCAGGTTACATTTGGGTTTTTTTGGTTTTTTGGGGTTTTTTCAGGTTACATTTGTTACCTGTCCAACGTTACTCCACTTATTCATTCTTTGGCATAATGTGGTGAAAAAGAAAAAACAATGTGGTAAAAAGGCATAGCAATTTGCAGCCTGAAGATTTAGCCATGAGTTCCAATTTATCCAGTTACTTCTTTTCTGTTTGTTTGTTCATTTTTTTGGGTTTTTATTTCTTTGTTTTTTCAGACAAGGTCTTGCCATGTAGTTCAAGCTGGCCTCGAACTTGGGGCAGTCCTCCTGTCTCAGCCTTCTGAATGCAAGGATTTCGAATGCTAGGATTACAGCCTTCTGAATGCTAGGCCACCACAGCCAGCTATCCAATTACTTCTAATTATATGCCCATAGTCAAGCCATGTTACCTCTTGCAAATAACATAAGTCTTACACAGTTACTACTGGGATCAAATAGAATTGAATATATGAAAACTTTTAAAAATGGAACTGAGCATGGTGGCACACGCCTGTAATCCCAGAACTCTGGGAGGCTGAGGATCGCAAGTTCAAGCCTCACCTGGGCAATCGAGCAACTTAATGAGATCCAATCTCAAAAAATTAAAAAGGATTGGGGATATAGCTCAATGTGAAGGTCTTGGGTTCAATCCCCAGTACTGAAAAAAACAAAAAGAGTGGGTGGGTGGCTAGGGATATAGCCCAGTTAGAGAGCTATATTCAGTTATAGAGAGCTTGCAGAGAAGAGGTAATGAATATGTGTTTTGTGTTGTTTCGTTTTGTTTGATTTTGGTTTTGGTTTTGGCAGTATTATGGATGAACCCGGGGCTTTGTGTGTACCAGGCAAATGCTTTACTACTAAGTTGCATTCCTTTCCCCATTCTCCTATTTTAAATGGGTAATCCTTTTATTGCAAAAGTAATAAGTGATAACTATGGGATATTTTAGAAAATAAAGGTAAAGTGAGAGGAGGAAATACAGAGCACTTGTCAGACCACCCCCTAGAGGATTGATGGTGAGCCTTTTAGAGCTTTCAGTGATACAGCAGCCCACTGTGGCACAGGTGCTTCTTGTTGTTTTGCCACCACTGCTCTAGATTGAGGTCTCAACCTTTAACAAGTGTCAGAAGCCTAAGGAGAGTTTATTACAACAGATCGCTGGTCTCCACTTTAAGAGTTTTGATTCAAGGCTGGGTGTGGTGGCTCACGTCTGTAATCCCAGCACTCAGGAGGCTGAGGCAGGAGGACTGCTGTGAGTTTGATGCCAGCCTGGACTACATGGCAAGACCCTGTCTCAAAAAACCAAAAACCAAAACTAAAAACAGTGAGTTTTGATTCAGTGTTTCTGGGATGTGGCCCAACAATTTGAATGTCTAGCAAGTTCCCAGGTGATACAAATGATGTTGACTCAGGAATGGGACTTTCAGGACTTCTGAGCTAGTGTGAAACACATACGTCTATGGGTATATAGAATATTTTAGGTGCATATTTTTGGGTTTTTACAAAATAAAACCATAGTTTCACTGTATTGTGTAAAATGCTTTTATTCAACAAACCCTCTTTGCACATTCATCTATCCCTGCTTTGTTCTGCACTCTGCAGCTGAGCAGACCCAGAAAGCAAGGAAGGAGATTGCTGATTTTCTGGCCGCTGGGAAGGATGAGCGAGCACGGATCCAAGTGGAGCACATTATCCGGGAAGACTACCTCGTGGAGGCCATGGAGATCCTGGAGCTGTACTGTGACCTGCTGCTGGCTCGGATTAACTTGATTCGGGCCACAAAGTGAGTGCATCATTTCACACACTCAAAGGAGTGAGGAGGCATCCCTCCCACCTGGTGAGGGAGAGGGTAGGCTCTAGCTTATTGGAACCACTGAACAATTTTTTCTGTCTCTTTTATTTCATATTTATTTGTTTGTTTGTTTTTGATACTGGAGATTGAAAACAAGGCCTTTGCACTGAACTACATCCCGGTCCTTTATTTATTTATTTATTTGTTTGTTTTGGTTTTTTGTAGTTTTTTTGGTACTGGGGATCAAACTCGGGTCCTTGTGCTTGTGCAGCAGGTGGTGAAACCACTGAGCTAAATCCCCAGCCCTGTTTTATTTTTTTTGAGATAGGGTCTCCCTATATAGTCCAGGCCGGCCTGGAACTGCCAGTGATCCTCCTACCTCAGCCTCCCAAGTGCTGGCATTGCAGGTGTACACCACCACGCCTGGCTTACTTTTAACTTCTTTAAAAAATTTAAATTAGAGGGGGGCATGAACTGATTTAACTGAATTTAAGAGAGAGCAAAGAGGAAGGGGCCTTGGGATGTTAGGATCTCACAATGGAATGCCATTGTTAATCTTTTTCTCGGGCTTTCATTTCCACTTCAATCTCAGACTGGATCCTTCATGAGATTAGAAATATCTCTCCTTTGGACTCATACCTGCAGTCTTCACAGTGACAGGAAAAGGGCTCCTTCCACCTCCAGTGAGAAATTCAGGCAGGAGGAATCTGTAACAATCATTTTGACCAGAATGAAGTAACAGCACTGCCACAGCCTGAGTCTCATGACCATGACCAAAGTCAAAGGCTGAGTCTGCTAGAGAGGAAAATGGGAAGGACAAAACAGTGAAGACTCAGAACGTGCCTCCCCTCCCTACCTGGATAGGACATTGGTTTCAAAGATTTAGGGGAAGTCTAAATCAAGATACGGAAAAAAAAAAAAAAAAAGAATTTGCAAGTCTCAAAATTCTAGTTTCATAGCTGGTATCCAAGCAAAAACAAGCTCTTCTCCTTGTTATATTGGTTCACAGGATATAAAGAATGAGAAATCTCAGGACTGAAATTCTGGGCCTAGAAAACCCCAGGAATTTGCTGACTACATGATTAGACAACCTCTATTGAAGGTGTATGGATACTAATAGATTCTTGAATTGCCTCAGCTAAACATAAATGAGCTCAAGTCCCTGTTTCTGGTTTTCTCAAATAGTTTTTCTCAACATTAGTCTGGAGAAGATGGTATGTGGAAGCACCCACATCAGGAGCCCATGTGATTTAGGGCCACAGAGCAGTTTTATCAAAACATGTAGATGTCTATTTTCTCTAGAAAAAAAAAAACTGATTTGGAAGTAATTTAAATGATGATAGTCTTTAAAGAATTAAAATAAAAATATCTGATCATTACCTTAAGTAGTTGTGGCCATGTGATTTAAGGGAATGAAGTTGTATAAGTAAATAGAGGATACATTTGTACCCTGAGAATGAATCAATGGAGAGGTATATGAGCCAACATTCATTATCGTTAGAAGACATAACAGTACAGTGATGAAAAAAATTAATGGTAAGACTGGAAAACCAGAACAGATTCACACATGTGAAAAACAATTTAATCTTGGAATATGTTTTCCATTATATTAACTCTATTAAGTTTAGAAATACTCATTTCATTGTTTTGTTTGCATATAACTTACATATAACACATGTATTGTTGGGCCGGGGATTTAGCTCAGTGGTTCTGCCACCTGCCTCGCAAGCTCAAGGTCCCGAGTTTGATCCCCTGTACCGGAAAAAACCCCCACAAAAA